ATATAGTATATGTATGAAATATTTCCTAATATTTGATAATACACACATTATCTACAGACGTAACTATTCGAATTAGAATCCTCTTAAAAAATTACATTCTCTATTACTACTAAGATCACTCATTAAATTCGTAAGTATGACATTAAACGATACGAGATACCAAGATAAGTATTGTTGTATGGAACCCCATACTTTAATTTGTAACTGCCCCACAACCAGGATCAATGGATTTTATTAGTGGTGGTTGTACGATGTAAACTGCCACCATCTTCAACGGAATAGTTTCCGAGCAACGCCACTTCCACCGCAACCGTAAAAGGTAAAATTGTACATAAATCCCTTTGAAAATCATAAACGAGCAAGTAAATACACGGTAAAATTATAATTTGGTCATCTTAAAATCATAAAATAATGACTTACTCCTAAAATTATAAAATAATCCAGTCTAGGTTATAACAATTCTTTATAATTTCCCGGAAATCGGTTTCGGTGTTTGTTAAATTAAACCCAGAAACTATATCTGTAATATGCTTGACTTTTTCTTAAAAGAAATTAAAATTTTGAATCACTTAACTGCCTTCCCCTTCCCCTTCCCCTTCCCCTTCCCCTTTTGTTTATTTTAGATTTTCTCTTAATATTTTTGTCTCCCTTTTTTACTTTTGATTTTCGTTTAGTCGACAACGACATCAACCATAATGTTGATTACCGATCATCAATAATGATGATTTTTATTATTTTTTCATACTATTCATTTATTTTATTTTGTTCTTAAGTTCTTTTTTTAATTTTAAATAATAATCCATACCAGTGTGACACACTTTTCTCTACTCTTGTAGCACGATCCTTATGACTTTTGGTATGTTTTTCACATACATTTACAGCCGTTTTGGTGCTCACACAAAAGCCCTCTTGATATTTGTTTTTTTATTGGTGTCGGTGGTCATGTATAATCAGATCCCCTTTTTGATAAAAAGTTATTTGCTAATATAGTGAGAATTGTGTAGCAAATCAGTCTGACATATAGTTTGGTTCGGTCATCACTTCTTTATCACTTTGTAAAGCATCTCGTTCAATAGAGAAATGAGTTTTTAGGAAGGTTATTAGATTCTTCTGATGTTGGTCGCCATTCTTAAGAGAATGTTTTATTTTTCTTCGTATATTTAGGTTTAATTTGTTTATATGTTCTTTTTGTGTGACTATTGTTCCAATTTTTCTCTTTATGTTTGAAGGTGTTGTAATTTTAATTTATTCCATTGTTTTTATTAATGAAACATAATTTTCATTGTTAAAAAAGAAATTGAATCACTTGATTGGAATTCTCGTTATGATATGTATGAACCCTAAAATAGTTTCAAAATCAATCTTTCACAAAACAATATAACGTTTGAAGAGTAAAGCTTTACGGTATTATAATTTAATTTTTCTTTGTTCAATTATAATTCAGATTATTTTTAATAATTCTTACCTAAGAGACGGAGAGAGAATTTTATTCCTAATATGTATTGAACATACAATTTAAGGAAGAAAAAAGATGTAAGCTAATAACTTCTAATCACATGCCTTATAGATTGTTGACTTATAATTCAAAATTTTAATTTGTTGGATATAATATTTTCAGAATAAATTATAAATTAACAATTTCAGAATATAGTATTAGTAAGACATATTCTCACAAAAGCAAGTTTTATAAAACTATTAGATCTCTAATATTTTAAATAATTTTTTAACTTATTAGTTTAATATTTTGTTCGAGTTAAACCATTTGATAACATCTTCTTCCTCATAATAGAATAAAGTTCTGTTAAGAATTAATAAAATGACCATAATGATTAAGGGGTGTGTTATTCTCCGTATAAGTCTTAGGCTCGAACAACTGTTTCTGTAGGGTATGCATTTTTAATTGTTAAGAAAAAATTTAAATAAATACTACATTGTAATCACTCTAAATTAGTAAAAAATATGATTAATCACAATCTAAATTAATATATTGACGTTGTGAATGGAACGAACTTAATTAAAAAGATAGTTCCATATTAAAATTTTTAGGTAACTGATTTAGGTTAACGGGTCAATAAATCTAATATAGGAGGTTAATCTAAAAAAGTTGTAAGTTGAAAAGTTAAAAGAAGCAAAGGGTGATAATGATTTGATACAGAAAAAGTCAAGGTCTGTGCAACACACAGCAAAAAGTTTCCTTTTATGAACCGGCAAGGATTAATCACGAATTTAAGGAAAGGTCCCCCAAGGACAAATCCGAATATTAACCCTTTTTGTAATATATATATAGAGAGAGAGACGAATAGGCTTTACTCATATATATATATATATATATATATGAGTAATTTTTACTTTAGAATTCGAATTTTTTTTCCAGTTATTTGTCTATTTTATTTATCATGTCTATCTTAAAATTTTATTTATATCGATTAAAAATGAAAATTTTAAATTATTAATATAATTATGTTTATCTTAAAAAAATATTTATAGATCTATTATTGAGTATGAACATTCATTATAAAATATTTGAGAATTTTTTAACAAATATTATCATATATTTATCTCAAAATTATAAAAAAATTATAGGTAATTGTAAATCAATGGGCGAGATTAAAAGGTTAAAAGTAAGAAAACTTTTACGAGAGAAAAAAAGAGAGAAATATGAACATTCATTATAAAATATTTGAAATTTTTTTAATAAATATTATCATATATTTATCTCAAAATTATAAAAAAAAATTATAGGTAAGTGTAAATCAATGGGTGAGATTAAAAGGTTAAAAATAAGAAAACTTTTACGAGAGAAAAAAAAAGAGAGAAATCAATAGTTTTAATTATCAATTTACATTTATCTAATAATTATAGAATAATTTTTTGAACTAAATTTTATACTGTGCGAGTGAATCTAGCCTCTTATATGTGTTATGTGTATAGAAAAGAATTCTGTGTACGGATGCAGTAACAATATTATTTATTTTTTCTCAAATGAGATTATACCATGTCTTATTTTGGAATTAGGATTTTAGATTTTAGAATTAACGTTTTATTATTTAAATTTAAGATTCTTGACATTTGACAATTTTAAAATCTTATTAGATAAATAAAATTTTCATCACCTATATATAAAATATTATCTTTATATTTCTTAATTAATATTAATCTATTGCTCTCTCTCTCTATATGGATAGGATCATATTATATAACCTAAAATTCTTTTGGGTTTACATGAATTTAGTATCGTTTGATGAGATAAAATAGATGATTAAGATTAATAATAGGAAATGAAAAGATATTCATTAAAAAAATAAGGAGATAATTTTAATAATCTATTTTTACTTGTTAAACATATTTAAATCTGTGTAAAATTAAAAGAATTTTATATTATATAATTGAATATTAACTCACGTATATATATTAATGAGAAACAAAAGTAAAGTGGTGGGATTTTTATAATGTTAAAACATATTATTTAATTATTAAAAATATAGCAAATTATTATAAAATATATTATTTTAATAATTTAAAATATAATAAATGATTATAAATATATTATTATAAAATATAATATTTTAATTATTTAAAATATTGATATATTCGGATCAAAGTCGGAGTTATACTCTAAAAATCAAAAAACGAGAAAAACTTAAAAATTATCATGGCATAACGAGATCAGATATTAATAAAATATTTTTGAGTTGAGGTCGGGTAACTAAAAACCCTCCACGTGCCCATCCTTAGGTCCAATGAGTTGGAGCATTGTATTTGTCAAGTAAAGTCAAAAATTCGAATTTTAACGATTGTAAGGAAATTTTATTAGAATGAACATATATAAAACACTATCTGAAATAATTATCAATAGTCCGATCGTTAAACCCATAAAAAGCAAATTAAGAAAAAGATCAGCTACGTCTCCGACACGCAATAGGCTGCAGGTACTTTTCCTGCTTTGACAATTAATATACAAGGACCATGCTGTAAGATTATGCATTTATTGGGAAAGTTGAATTACAAGGAATTAAAATATAATTTTATTATCAATTTAAGTTAATTTAATATCATTTAAATAAATTTAAAATTTGAAGTTTTATGTATATAAAAAATCTTCATTAAAAGACTCACATACCAAATCGGGTGTATGATGTGAGATTATTCGAATTAATTATGATAAAACCATGAAAATGAAAGGCAACTAATATGTGTGTGTATATATATAGTTGGATTCCTTCTAATTTTATAAATTTTAGAAGGATTGAGTTTTTATTTTTATTTTAGAAGCTCAAAAATATAATTTTTCTAATCAATAATTTATAATATTATATTTTTTTAAAATATTAAATTTTTTTATTTTATAGGAGTTAAAGTATAATTTTATTACTCTACCTAATTTTATAAATTTTAAAATGATTAATTTTTTTTCATTTTAGAAGGTCACATTATAATTTTTTATAGTAACTTGAAATTTTATAATTTTTATAAATATGTTTTATTTCAAAGAGTTGTGACCGTGTCAATCAAATCATGAATAGTGTAACAAAAAATATTTTTTATTAGTGCAAGAGGAGAGGGTAGGTTTAAATCCAAGACCTAATATCAATAAAAACTTGAATAACATAAATTATTTTTCACTACATTACTAAGTGATTAATTAAAATCATAAAAAATAACATTTTAGCTTGAACTACAAAATCCTCTAAAATTAAATATTCTCTTTCACTATTCAAATGTGTGAAAAGATTTAAATAATAAAAACACTTAATTAAATATTTACTTAGTATCCCTTTTGAGTTCAATCTCTTAATAACATTTATCTTTTTCACATCTTTAACACATCTTTATCCATTGCATTCTTGTTGATGTTTTCTTCATCAACTGATACCAAGAGAGAAAAGAAAATCCATCTTTTTAGAGTTTGTTGTTCTTGAAGAAACCTTGTGAAATTCTGGGAGGGGGGGGGGAAAGCATTGATTTTTTTGCTTTGGTTTTGTTTATTTCAAGAGAGAGAGAAAAACATGTTGGATCTTAACCTTGATATGGTCTCGAGCGAGTCATCTTGCGATGAGAACATCGACGACAAGAATAACGACAAGATGACGTTAACTCAAATGGAAGATTCGGGTTCTTCGAATTCTTCAATCATCTACGACGAAGACGTTCCGTTATCAAATGCAAAAGACGAGAACTCTTCCAACGATGCCTCGCCGGCATTCGTTTTTGATATCTTAAAGAAGGAAAAAGATGATGATGATGATGATGTCACCATTGCTAAAACTGTCCAAGACCCTTCGCCGGAATTCTTCACCCGACAACTCTTTCCGGTCGCCGGAGAAAAAGTGGGTCTAGAGTTGGAGTTCGGAACAACAGCTTCGGCTAGTAGACCCCAATGGTTGAATTTATCTTATGCCGAGTCCACCCGCGTGCCCGAGCTGACAACTGTCCAGATAAAGCCTCAACCGAGGAAGGGCCGCCGAGGGCCGAGGTCCCGGAGCTCTCAATACCGTGGCGTCACATTTTACCGGAGAACTGGCCGGTGGGAATCGCATATATGGTAGTATTCATGTCCAGATATATAATGTTTTTAAGTATTTTTTTTAACCCATCAAGTGGATTTGGTGGATAAAAGGAAATCTTAATTCGAGAAACTGCATCGGTAGTGTATGCACACATTGTCGATGGTTAAAATTTTGAACGAGTATTTACTTATAATCTCGCCGTTGAAAAAAAACTATTTTTAGTGATATTCAAATGTGAGATTATTCTAATTTGTTTTTGTTTCTCTGTGGATAGGGATTGTGGGAAGCAAGTATATTTAGGTAATTTAAATGATTTATTTGAAGATTTTTTGAATAATTTCATGGATTTTTTTCTTTTCTGATAAGGGTATACTTCTTTTTGTGTTGTCAGGAGGATTTGATACAGCCCTTGCTGCTGCCAGGTGAGAATTTATATTATATTTGGTCAAAAATAATGAATTAAATCATTTAATTTTATTTCTATCTTATTTAGAGCTTATGATCGAGCTGCAATCAAGTTCCGGGGAGTTGATGCTGATATCAACTTTAATTTGAGTGATTACGATGAAGACATGTCTCAGGTAAAAGATACACCAGAATCATATGAATTCTCAGCTTTCTTTTCCTTGTTTGTTGCATGAAGCTTGATTATGGTTTTTGATCTGCAGATGAAGCACATGAGCAAAGAAGAATTTGTGCAGAGTCTTCGTCGGCAGAGCAACGGATTCTGGAGGGGGAGCTCCAAGTACAGAGGTGTAACGTTGCATAAATGCGGTCGATGGGAAACTCGAATGGGACAGTTCCTCGGAAAGAAGTGAGAATCTGGTTCACCAAAGCTTTCTTTCATATGATCTTTTGGTTGTAATTGAGGCTTTTAGTTTAGAGCCTATCGTGTCGCGGTAAGGTGAAAAATTATGATCATTGCTTGCAGGCATACTTATCTCAGATTGTTCGACTCCGAAGTAGACGCTGCAAGGTCTTCTATGATCATAGTTTTATGCTTCGAGATATCGATTTGATGATTCATACGGTTTTTGGTTTCTCGATTTTTGAATGCAGGGCTTATGATATGGCTGCCATGAAATGTAATGGAAGTGAAGCTGTTACCAACTTTGAGCCAATTACTTATGGAGGGGAGGCTACAACTAGTGGAGGTATCTGCAGATTTCTTTGAGTAATCAAACAAGTTGTTGATTGTTTTGATGTTGAATTTTCTGTTTTCTGATGCATTGAATGCAGGCAATTGTCATCACAATCTTGATCTGAGCCTCGGGATTTCTGCGCCTTCCGTTGCTCAAAACGGGAGCAACGGTGCAGCAGATTTCCATTTTCGTAACGCTGCTGGCAGTTCTGCTTCTGTGGGTTTACAGCCTCCACACGGTCCAGCACTAGTGGCTAAGCACCCTCCGATGCTGTCCAGTGTTTATCCTGTCACTCTTTTACCACACGATGAGGTACTTCCCTTCGTTTCATGTCTCCTCTCCTCGCTCGTTGTTTCCGCGGCAGTAGAATGTAACGATTGAATGGTGTTTATGATATGACAGGGAAGGGCAATGCCAAAGAGAGCCGAAGCTGTTTCATCGACCGGATTCTCGAACTGGGGATGGACAATTAAAGGGGATGGTAAAATTGCCCCAACCGCGGTGTTTCCTATAGCAGCATCATCAGGATTCTCTTCGTCCAATGCCATTGCTCCATCGACTACACTCCCATTTAACAGTTCCGGCCAGAACCATTGCCCTGCGACACCCTTTACGTCGGCCAATAACACTTCCCATTACTATAATTACAGGAGCTGAAATCTGCATGGCTTTACAAACACAAGTGAAGCTGTATCAATTGTATTGCAAATTGTGTAATACAAGAATATCTTGCATTTGTTCATGTTTCAAAACTTCAAGTTCCTGCTTTCGTAACATATTTACATAGCAGTCGTTAAGCGACGTTACGATTGCTATTTTTATCATTTCGACTTTCATTATCATTGCCAAAATTCGAATAACTTCATGGGATTATTCGAGTCGGATTTGTCCAGGGTGCAAAGAAAAGCATCTTAAGAACAAGTGACGTGGAAGTTGATGAGTGATTGCCGTAAAGAAACAAATCAAAGAAGAGTTGAAAAGAATTATATGATGATTTGGGTCCCTCTGTACTCAAAGGGAAATGATGCAAGTCACTCTATTTATTTGATAATGAATGTTCATACATCTATTTCATACAAATAAAGTACTTATTCATATTTATTTACGTTTAAGATTAACACTCGAATATAAATAACGTTGTTCGAATCAATAATTTATGATTGGTTTGTTGCAAGTTGCAAAAAGGTCCTCAATTTATTTATTTTAATTTAAAAGAAACCCCTCTTCCTCATTGATTACACTGCATTAAATTCAACCTGCCTGGCCCAACTTGCATATCCCAAATCTCCAAAATCCGATTCTACGCTGAAGATTTAATGGCTATGTAGGCTTAATAACATGCATTCATCAACCCAAATCAATGCTAAAATGTCTTTTTTTTTTTGGTTAAAAATTATAAATGGTCTCTCGACTATTCATATATTTTAAACTTGTTATTTTTCGTTAAAAATGACGGATGTCTGAGTTGAATGTTATCCTACAAGTTGTGATGTGATAAAATCTGATCCAATAATCGTTTGAATTGTATTTAGTGGATCGAGTCTCCGATTACATTATGTTATCGAGCTAGTCCTTAAAACATATTTTATCATATTTCAGTCATCAAGTTAACGTCAGACTCAGACAGAAAGAAACATTACTCATACGCATACATGAATGTCTAAAAAAATAGTACTTATAATTAATTTCAACTTAAATGATATTTAATTGATGTGTATATATAGTTGGTATGTGACTAGATTTCCAAATAACTTGTCTAAATTTGACTTTATTTCTTTGGAATTAATGTCAATAAATGTATTATTGATTAGAGGAGCATCTGTACTAATTAAGACATCTATAAATGTACTTAAACGCTATCCCATAGCTCAGTTTAAAATTGTGGAGGGTTATTAATTTTAAGCCAAACTCATGTTTAGGTTCGTGTTATTTCTTTATTTAAAGTATTATAAATCTATATTTTTTATTCATATTGTATTTATATGAATAATTTATTTTATACAATATTTAATACGTTTGTGTATGAATGTTATGTTGGTATTGTTTTTTTTTTTTGTGTTATATAGATTTTTTAGGCTTAAAGCAAAAATACATGTCTAAATTATACACTAGTTAATTTTAGGTATTTACATAATTTTTCGCTCAAAATAGGTATCTAACGTTTCTAATGTTACACTTTTAAGTATCTATGCCGTATTAGCCGTTAAAAAATACCGTTAAATAACACGTGTCACGTTGATTTTTTTATTTTTTTTCAAAAAAACTTAATTTTTTTTAAACTCAAAACTTTTTTAAAATACCAAAAAGAAAATCTCTAACTCCAAACCACTCGTCCTTTGACCTGCATGTTTTTATGTAAATGTGTTCAGCATATAAGCAGGCTTACCTAGACCTTATTTCATGGACAAAAGTAAGATTTTATATTAGGGATTGACTTATAAAATCTTAGAATATTAAAATATATTATTAATAAAAAATAGGTATAATGTCAGAATTAAGCTCTAACATTTATCAAAATAGTCATTTTGGTTCTTATTCTTTTTTCTTTTCTAGAATATTTTGTCCCTCAATATTTCATTTTGGCACAAAAATGCCTCCCTATGGGTGGAGATCATTAGTCAACAAACGGTTAACGCTTCAAACTAGGGGTATTTTTACTCTAAAATAAAATGTTGGTGGCCAAAGTGCTCTAGAAAAAAGACTAAGATCTAAAATGATTATTCAGTCAAACATTAAGGATCTTTTTACCTTAAAATAAAACATAAGAGGACAAAATATTCTAAAATAGAAATTAAAATAATTATTGCAATAAACATTAAGGGTTAATTTTAAAATTATACCATAAAAATATAAAAAAGAATACTTCATTATATATATATATATACATATATATATATTTAAAGTTTTTTAAGAAAACCACTCTCCCGTCAACCCCTTCACTCCATCCCTGCCCTACCTACTTACTTGTATTCCAATGGCCCATTTATGCGGAAGGACATCACGAAGCCCACACCTTTGGGCTACAACATTGAGAGTGTTCCACCATCGTGGAACCTCCACTTTCCTCAAATGTGCACATCTAGACGACTGCCACCAAGATTTGAGTTCCGACTCGTTTTCTAAATTTGAAATATATTATATAATTTATAAGTATAAAAGTGACATGATTTAATTACATCCAATTTAAAATCTTTTTAGGATCGTTTGATGAATGAAATCAAATGTTGCAATTAACAATTGGAAATGAAAATTATTCACTGAAAAAAACAAAGAGTTAATCTCAGTCATTAATTTCTTTTCATCCAACGGTCCTAAAAAGATGTAAAACTAAGATACACTAGGTGTAAGTGGATCCTAAACCTTTATAAAATTTATGATTATTATTTCATGCACCAACACTGGAAAAAAAATTTCATTAGTATATCTATTTGAATGTCATTTAGTATATATTTATTTTTTATAAAGTCGTTCGTTTTATTAAAACATAAAATATCCAAGTTACAATAAATGTTTACAATCACAACGCATAATAAGTACATTTTCCTATAATCATTAACACAATAAACTAGTCACTTAAGATCCCACAAGAACAATACAAAGAAAATGTTAAAAATCTAACCAAATAAACTATAACAAAAGGTAGATAAAAAATATATTTTACTGCATTGACAAACGAACCACAAAAAGAGATTAAACTATTGAAAGACCACAGACAAATCGCAAATCAGAGTCAAACAACGTGGAAAATTTATACACGAATGCAAATCACATATCCAAATCCATTTTGAGGGTCCAAATAGAGAAGATAAACATGATAACAAATAAGCACTATCTTGATTAGTCGTGACAATATCAAGTTCAACCTAAGAAAAAGGATAAACGAAAATAATGATCAAATGATTGAAAATATACCATAATGACTGAGGTATTAAAAAAATAAAAAAAATAAAAATAAAAATATAATAAAAGAAAATAAAAACAATAAATACTGACGGTCGGCGAGCAACATCAAAATTAAGTCTGTCTCATGTCATAAAGATGAAAAAGAAAAGAGACCATTGAGGATTAAAGAAAAATAGAAAAAAAAAACTAAGACAACCAGAAAAAAATATCATTTCATATATTTAAATAATCTTAAATCTAACAACTTATAATTCTAAATATGATACATAACAACATTAAAATATCGTATTGTGAAAATACTACGTTATCCAAACAATTATCATCATTAACAACAACTAAAACATTAGGAGAATAACTTCTCAAATAAATCAGTTCACTCAAGAATACCTTAAAATAAAAAACAGCAAGAGATAAATAAGGAAAATTAGATATATTTAAAAAACAATTAAAAATATTGATATTAAAAAAGTATTTAAAAATAAATTAAAATTAACAAAATTATGTAAAATTATCCTTAAAATGTAGGATTTTGTCAAAAATATTTTGTGGTGTTTTAGATGTGAAAATCGTTGACCGTTGTCGAAGTTGTGAGTAATTGTTGGTGATTTTGAATTTGGTGTAAATCTTTACAAATCACACATTAATAAGATATTCATTTTTGTTAATATTTAAATACATTTTTTATATTTTATTTCATTGGATGATTGATGTTTTGTCTATATATGCGTTTTATTATCTGATCCGATTAATGTTTGTGTAAACATATATGTGTGACACGTAATAACACTTTTTTTCCCAATATTTATAACCAAAGTCATCGGCATTGAAATGATTTTAGCAGAATCATTAACAATTCGAATCTCACGGTGGACAATTCATAATTCTGACTGTCGAAGGTCTCCCACAGAAGCTGCTCTCAACCTGACGTTGGGGGCATCCTACTATCCTACCTCCCCTTATCTCATTACATATGAGAATAGGGTCAGCTAATTAACAATTCGAGATAACTTTACAAATTAATGTTTGAAGTGATTTATTTTCTAAATAATTTTCAGTTCAATTTCTTTATTTTTTTAATTCTTTTATTATTTCTATAAAATAATCAAGGGTAAACTATACGTTTAGTACCGAAACTATTATTTTTATTTTATTTGGTACCTAAACTTTATTTTGTTTCAAAATCATACTTAATGTTTAGTTTATGTTTCATTTTGGTACCCTGTCATTAAAAACTTAGCATTAATGTTGGCATGTCACCATAAGATATTGCCTCATCATCATTGAAAAAATTTAAAAAAGATTCACGTCAATAATTCTGTTAATTTTTAACAACGAGGTACCAAAATAAAATCTAAACTAAATGTTAAGTGTAATTTTGAAACAAAATAAACTTCAGGTATCAAAATGGAATAAAAGTAACAGTTTAGGTACTAAACATGTAGTTTATCCAATAATCAAGTGGGTATTTACCAGGTAATGTGCGCATATATCCCACGACGTGAGCATCAATTGTTGATGCACGAGGCAGGCCAGCTCACTCCCTCCACACTTGTCACCCTCCCCTTTACTTCTCAATCATATTAATCTTAATTCATTATTCAATTAATATTATTATAGAAATGGATCGAGGGAGACAGTGAAACAGTTACTCCCATTTTTTTAAAAAAAAACTTATATATATTTTAGAGTTTTTATGTTTATTTTCTATTGATGTTGAATAATTTGATTTTCCTTATTATTTGATCTTACATTCATCCTTATGTATTACAAACAATTTAAAATTCGTGAGTTGG